CTCTCTCTCTCTCTCTCTCTCTCTCTCTCACACGCATACTCTCTCTCTCCCTCTCTCTCTCTCTTCCTTGGCCCCGTCCCACTGTCCTTATCAGTTTCTTACCAGTTTGTTCCCCTTCATTAGGACTCACGGTCATGCAGAAAGTTCTGGACACGGCGGCGGAGAGGAACTGGCTGGTGACCTCGGTGAACCTGGAGACCATGACGGAGGCGGCCTTCATGAAGGTCTTCCAGGACTTGGACAAGAAGAAAGAGGGCCAGATTGTCATTGACTGTGAGGTGGAGAGGTTGCTGGCCATTCTGAAGCTGGTGAGCATCTCCATCTTGCCCCCTCCCATGCTTTGCTCTCCCGCCAGGCGTGGCTAAGTGCCCACGAGTTCTCATTACTTGGGGGTGGGGGGACGTCAGCGGTCAGGAAATAAATTAACAAACACAAAATCCACAACAGTCGTAGCCAGCAGTAGGAACAATTGTCCCCCCCTCGTCCCAGGAGCCAGTCCATTACCCCGCTTTTCGAGACAGAGCACACGGTGAAAGACTGACGGTTTTCCCCAGGACAGATTTTCACGTGTCACCGCTTCTGTGGCATGAATTAATGCCAAGTGAAGGTGCAGTGAGGGTGGAGGCAGATTCATGTGGATGGTGAGTTAAATCTCGTGTCAGGAAGCACGCAGCACCGCGCTTTCCCCCCTGGTGTCGGCCTGTGGCTCCTTGGTGGACGGTGTCACACTCTGGCGCTTTTGGCGGTATGGGCCTGGCCTCGAGTCAGGCCTAATAGCTACCACCGGGCCTGCCGTGACCGCAGCTTGCCGCAAGAATCTTCTGGATCTGACCTGAATCACAAGAGTAATTTTCTTTTCTATGCAGTTCACTTAAATTTGAGCAAGGCCCTATGAGAGAGGCTTTATGGCATTCCGCTGTCTACAGTCAGGTGACCTTAATATTGGTACTGATTTGTTCCACCTGACTGTATTGATGGTATTGATCTGTATGGAGTGTGATGTTCTGTGACTGGATGCCAGATTGATCTCAGAGTCTAAACCTTGAAGTTCCACCCATCTGATAATTTTTCCTGTTCATTCCACATGCAGCAGTACCACATTCTCTTTTTTTTGGTGAACCCCATCTGTTGGCCCTCATCTAACCGCGAAAAGGGATAATATCATAAATGGTCTGTCACATGCTTGGGTTTGTTGGCTGTAAGCGATCTCACGAGCCTCCCAGCTGGCTGCGTTTTGTTTATGGCCTTGTGACGGTACAACTGGCCGAGATCCTCAGCAGGTGTCATTATGGAGGGATGCAGAGTGACGGCGTTAAAAGGCACGCACTCCGCACAGGGACGTTACCGGCGGATTCCCGGGAGGACACTTATGTCGCCCTTTGCCTGCCGTACCACCCGCCACCTCGCTCTTCATGTAGGATCCCAATCCGTCACCAAATTCGAAGCTGAGTGCAGCCTCATAGAGAGTGACCATCAAACAGCTCGTCATCACCAGATGCTCTCCTCTGGGCCTCTGCTCCACAAACATGAAACATCTCTGGGACAAAAATTTGCTAATTATCTGTGTAATTCATTTCTGCAATCTAGGCACACAGGTGTCCATGACAGAAATCAGAGGGGACAGAAAATAATTGTTTCCCTTACAGCAATGCCTGTAGCAAATCGCTTCAGACAAAGCTTCTGTTTGGACCAGGGAGTTAGGAAGATGTAACCTGTGTTGGAGAGGTGGGCTGTCATGCCCAGGATGTTAGGGGAGAGGATCCATCTGGTTGCCTGGTTACAAGATGAAATATCTGACTTGATGGGAAAGCCTTAAAGAATGTACTGGGGTGTGTCTCTGCGCTGTCTTACAGATCGCGTCCCAGGGGAAGAACGTGAAGAGCTATCATTACATCCTTGCCAACCTGGTAAGCAGGAGAACATCGCTGCAGCTTCCTGTGTTAATTTCCGAGTGAGGTTTGCACCTTAAAATGCTTTGCAGTGTAACTACCGAGCTGTTATTGAGTGCTTTGGTGAAAAATATATTCTTGTTGGTGGATGAAGTAGGACTGTAAGGGCAGAATGTGAATGTAAATCCATTTTGACATGATGATGAAATTCCTCTGCTGAACTTGCAGGTCACTAGGCTTGGAAGTGATCGGAATTTCACACAGAACCAGGGTGTGCAGAGCCGAAGCCTGACACTGTAAACGATATTAATGGGATGATGATGATAATGGCATCACTGTGTGGCCCTACGCTCGTGGGCGGGGGCCTGCTGGGGGCACAGATCATAAGATCTTACCGTATTGATGAAATTCTTACAGCAGATACAGACTGAGAGAGAACTGCAGCTAGCAGCAGATGCTAACTATAAGCTCATTTAAAGAGCTGCTGAGCGCATGGCATTTTCAGTGCTAGAAGCTTACCGTGTATTTAAATCAAGTGTCCAGAGTTGGCATAAACCAATTTGGCACTGCCACCAGAGAATGGGGGTTTATGGGGGGATTATGAGAGCTTCCTCAAACTCCAGTCACGAGAATGCGGCCTGTGTGAACGAGAATGCGGCCTGTGTGAACGAGAATGCGGCCTGTGAGAACGAGAATGCGGCCTGTGTGAACGAGAATGCGGCCTGTGAGAACGCGAATGCGGCCTGTGTGAACGAGAATGCGGCCTGTGAGAACGAGAATGCGGCCTGTGAGAACGAGAATGCGACCTGTGAGAACGAGAATGCGGCCTGTGAGAACGAGAATGCGGCCTGTGAGAACGAGAATGCGACCTGTGAGAACGAGAATGCGACCTGTGAGAATGCGACGCCCTCAGGAGTGTGCGGTGCTGAAGGGGGAACCGGCCCAGGAACAACGAGAAAGGCTGCTATGGGGCTGGCCAGGAAGTGATGGGGGAATCGGGTCCCACCGTCACCAGCGGCCGCATCGTCACTCTGATTATGTCGCGTGTGGCAGCTAAGCCAGCTCATGTGCCTGAAGTTCCTAATTTTTTTGTTTGATATGAGATTTAGACCAATTTAGTCCCGCTGAACTGCAGATGGTCTGGTCCTGCTTTTTTTAGGCACTCCAGGCTATGGCATTTCTTAGATACGCTGACAGGCATCACACGTGGCCGCGCGATCTGCGGGGTCTGCGGGAGCCACAGATGCAGACAAACGCTGGATCATATGAATGCGTTTATTCTTATGTTATGTGTACGTGCACATTCCTCAGGCAGCCCCGGCTTGCTAGCATGCTGGACTTTAGGGCTAACAGGACGGACCGGCCCGCAGTAATGGGCAGAACAGGGCTTCTGGTTCCAGGGCAAGCAGTTGATGCTGTTTTTAACGTCCTCACTTCACCCGATGTCTGAGAGGCACCTCTGCCATTCGTGAGATTGTCTGCATCCCCACCGAGAGGCGTATATTAGGGATGCTTGGTTAGCTTGTGATGAAGGTAGCTGTGCTTCGTTAATGACGTAATAAGCCCTGAGGGGCCCTGCTTTATCTGTAACTAAATTCAATGCTCATGCTTGGAGTGAGCCTTCAGTTTGAAGTGGATTTATTCACACATTTACCACAACCTTTGTGCATGTAGATCCATAGTGGCTGCTGGGGTTGCATTTCAATGACTGGTGGAGTATTGACCGCTCTATTCGAGTGACTGTCTGTTCCAGCAAAGGGTGATGGTGAAATAGGACCTGTGACATGCGGGCACAGACATCTCCCCTTCAGCAGGAGTGCCCGTGAAGTCAGTGCCCACCTCCTCCCAAAGTCGAACAGAAGTCGCACATCAGTTCAGTTTTTGGCTGTGAAAAAAGGAATTTAGCGTCAGAGTTGCTTGATCTACTGCGAGAGCGCTGGTGCTTCTGCGGTCCTGCTGACCCCATGGATATGCCTATTCTAGTGCTTTGGAAGGCCCTGCCACAATTCGACAGACATGGCAGCCTCACGACACGCACAGATCAGCAAAGGAAGGCAGGCTTTGGTTTGTCTGCGGTAGGCAAATGTTCCCGTTCAGTTTGAGGCCATCTGATGTACCACAGAAGGCATGTCGATGTCACAAACCTGATTGTAGTGCTCTACTACTCAAGAGTTTCACGTAGGGATATTATTTGATGTGTTTTTATTTATATATCATGTTTTACCTTCTGTGGAAGTGTTTGCAGACTCCCTGTAGCTTCTGCTGATGTTATAGATGGTCTTGGGGTGTGGGCAGTGTTCCCAGTGCGGCATCCTTCTCAGTGTCAGCGAGGCGTGAGGGGGAATCATCCAGCTTACGAGAGCCGCAGGGCGGGAAGCTACGGTAACTCTTATCGGCCCCGCCCAAGAATATCCTGTCTGCATTTCAGCCAATCCGGTGGGAGCAGAAGACCTTTCATTGGGCTGGGTTTCCTGATAGCATCCTCCACTGGGTCCGTGAAGATTCCCCTATGCTGCCACTAAGATGTTTGCCAAAGGAATCTCAGCCGAGATTCATTATTAAACCAGTATTTGTTTTGTGGATCTGAATTAATGGAAACGGCCGTGGGCCACATCTGGCACGGCTCCTGCAGAAGGCTCCCCGCTCCTGCAGAAGGCTCTCCACGGCAGACTCTCGCCAGTCTGTCCTAAGATGCTCTCCTGCCGCTCGCTGGGGAGGCCTGCCTTTGCACACACCGTTTGTGTGGCTGCGGGAGGGAAGTTGCTTCCAAATGTCTTACTGATCCTCTTTCGTGGTGCCGTGGAAAAGGCTTCATGAAGGGAGACTTATTTTATGACAGTTTATTTTATTTTGTTACATGTTGTTACATGTTTGGTATATGGCTCTTATTTCCTTCTCTACCTGTATATCTCATCTCCCAGGTTTTGATTTTAAGGTTTTTGTTTACAGTTAATGCATGCCTTCTGAGATAAGACACCCCCTTTTTGAACGAGTTTAACCTTTTAAATAAACATTTTCATTTTTCATTTCTTTAAAAAAGAATGGTAAAATATTTTATTACGGGACACTATCTTAAGAATACAGTACAGGCCGTCTTTTATTCCTTAATGCAAATGTTATTTGTGACCACTGCACTTTTTTATCAATGGACCCAAGTATTAATGAATATGATTCTCAGAACTTGTCATGCAGATTTTTGGTTTGTTTGATAGCCACATGGATACACTTATTGATTTCCGAGCGCTGTAGGGATTTTGCCGCTCCCAGAGTTGTTGCAGTCTGATTTGTGGCCTGTAGTTACTCACTGGGCTGTAAAATTAGTTATGCTGTCGAATCTGTGGTCTGTAGTTATTCATTGGTCTGTAAAATTAGTAATGCTGTGTTATCTGTGGTCTGTAGTTACTGACCTGTAAAATGAGTTATGCTGTCGAATCTGTGGTCTGTAGTTACTCATTGGTCTTTAAAATGAGTTATGCTGTCTGATCGGTGGCCTGTAGTTACACAGTGGTCTGTAAAATGAATTATGCTCCCTTTTGTGGGTTTTTAGCATCTTTGATCAGATGAATGCCCCTTTGCCGAAGGTGATAGTTTAGTGTGTTAGTCTTGGTAATACTGATTTCATAGTTTGGATTTAGAGATTTCCTGCATTGCGGGGTGATTACAATGCAGCTATGACTCCTGACTCTAAAGTATTTTGCTCTAGACCTGTAATCTGCAAGACTACCTCACGCTTCTTAGGGATTCATGGATATTGACCTGACCGAGTTCAGGAACGGAGGCGCCAATGTGACAGGCTTCCAGTTGGTGAATGACACAGACCAGACAGTCAGCAGGATCAGCCAGCAGTGGCTGGAGTTTGACAACAAGGATGCCAAAAACATCAAGAAGAGACTTAAGGTGCAGTGAGAGCGTCGTCTCCGCCACAACTCTCTCAATCATACAGAAGCTGTGAAATCAGCTTTCCCTTTTCACCACACCCTCTGCTGGTTGTCTCCTGGCACTGCATCAGGTGTCGTATAACCCTCTCCCCTTCCACAGTACACCGGGGCCCTCACTTATGATGGGGTTAGCGTGATGTCCACCGCCTTCCAGAACCTCCGCAGGCAACGCATTGACATCTCACGGAGAGGGAATGCCGGGGACTGTTTGGCCAACCCCCCCGCGCCGTGGGGTCAGGGAATCGACATCCAGCGGGCTCTGCAGCAGGTGGTGAAGGCTGGGCGCTGACTGGGGGGGGAGCTTAGACAGGGCGGTCAACACTGAATCTGGAAGGAAGCTTCTGTTAGCTTTTAGAGTGAAAGGGGTGCCAGGAAATGCGTATGGATGGAAGGGGGCCTTGACTAAAGGTGTTTAGATGACGTAGTATAGACTGTAGTATAGTAAATATTGGTAACATTTTAGAAAATGACTCAATGGGAACAACAAGCTCAATGGGATGAAATAATAATAATGTTTTACATTTTGGTTTTTTATCTTTTTGTCTGTGGTGATAAATGGCTTCATTGTCTTTAAGTTTCATGTATGCATTTTATTGTATGCAAGACTTATCTTCTGTACTGTGTTGAAATGCATATAAATGAATGATTTTGACTTTAATATTAAAGTAGTTCTAGTATTGTTAATATTTGTAAAAATCTTATGGTGTTATGCTATTGGAATATTAATTGTCTCTAACCAAGAACAAACCAAAGAAAAAGTACATTTTCAGTTTATGAGCACAAATTTCTGACATTATGGTTTTATTTAGTTTAAGAGAGTTAGATGAAATACTTGAATGGATGGATGGACGTATGGATGGATGGATTGAATCCAATTCAGGGTTGGACAAGGGTGTTCTGTTACAGGTCCGGATAGATGGTTTGACCGGACACATTCAGTTTAACGAGAAAGGGCGCCGGACAAACTACACCGTCAGTGTGATGGAACTTAAGCCAACGGGACCCAAAAAAGTAAGTCCAGCACTGGTATATCTTACCGGAAAACACCTGAATTTAACTGGCTGCCAAGATCACATGTCCTTTCTTTTGGACATTGCAGGTGGGCTACTGGAATGAAGACGAGAAGTTTGTGAGCACAGCGACATACATGCTTGGCGGGAATGAATCCTACGGCCTGCAGAACAGGACCTACATAGTCACTACCATCCTCGTATGTCTCCTGCTCCTTTTGTAGCTCTACTCTGCCATATTACAATAGGATAATTATATATTGTTCATCTCCCTTAGAATTTTGGGTAGTTCTCGCATATCCTCCCTTGCTGGCGATGACACACTAGTGGTTCACCTATGTGGAAATTTTGGCCCATGTCAATATATTTTTTGTCTAATATTACCAACACCGATATCAATAACCAACTACCCTCTGAGGCATTTGTGCTGGCGGTGAAACTTACCGAGCTTGCTTGTGCTAATTAGCGAAATGATGTTGTGTCATTTTATTCTCTGTGGAAAATGAAAGATCAGTCTGCAGGCCAGATTTAATAATGAATTAAAAACATGTTGTGAGCTAGATCTTGCCTTTGGGCTGGTACTGTGAGACCTTTTATAAGTGGCCAATAAGCCAAAGTCCTACACTACAGAAAAGAAAAGATCAAAGGCAACCATCCATTATTTCAGTGTTATGTCTTTAGCTCAGGTGAATGTTGATTAAATATCATCCGACACTATCAACCAAGATTGTCGAACTGATCTTGATTTCAAATGAATATTAGCCGATACAGATATATTAATCAATATATTGTGCGTCTCTTAGACACAGAGGATAAGTTTTGGCATGAGCGAGCCGGGTCAGTCATCCCTGGAGAAGAGGAGGTTAAGGGCCTTACTCATGGGTCCAGCAATGACAGGCTACAGCATTTGAACCTAACAAGTGGAGCTACACGCCTCCTCTAATATTGCTTCTGTATAAGGGTCATATTCGGATAGACAACTGAATGTAAGACCTGGTCATGCCAACCTGTGCTAATGGGCTTGATGTCAAGGCCATCATGCCTGGGAGTGAGTGGCCTTTTTCTTTAGAGCAGTGGTTCTCGGTTCTGTTCCTAGAGGAACCCCTGCCGGAATGTTTTCGTCTCATCCTGGGGAAAAAGGCCCCAGCTGGCTTCTGCTTGAGCTGCGGCCCCATTGTCCTCTGTGTAAAAAGCAGAGCACTTCACATATCTTTGAGAATGCAAGCCCCGCCTCCACCCCAGGACCGGGGAGGTTACCTCTCTGAGAATGCAAGCCCCGCCTCCACCCCAGGACCGGGG